TATAGAAAAGAAAAGGAGGGGGAAGAGGACTAGGGGGGACATGATAGCAATGTTCCAATATCTCAGGGGTTGCCACAAAGAAGAGGGAGTCAAGCTATTCTCCAAAGCACCTGAGGGCAGAACAAGAAGGAATGGGTGGAAACTAATCAAGGAGAGAAGCAACTTAGAACTGAGGAGAAATTTCCTGAGAGTGAGAACAATGAACCAGTGGAACAGAAGTTGCCTCCAGAAGTTGTAAATGCCCCAACACTGGAAGTCTTTAGGAAGTTGCTGGATAGCCATTTGTCTGGAACGGAATAGGGTTTCCTGCCTAGGCAGGGGGTTGGACTAGAAGACCTCCAAGGCCCCTTCCAACTCTGCTATTGTATTGTATTGTATTGATGAAGGAGGAGGAGGAGGGAAAGGAAGAAAGGGTAAAGCAGAGGAGGTAAGGGAGGGGAAGCAAGAGGAGGAGAGAGGAGGAGGGGGGGGAAAGAGGGGAAGAAGAAAGGAGGGAGGATGGGGAGTTCTAGTCCTGCTGGGGGTTGGAGGATTCTGGGAGTTGAAGTCCACAAGTCTTAAAAGTTGCCCAGTTTGGAGAGCCCCTTGTTGTTCGGAAGCTTTGTGGAGGAAAAGGGAGTTATAAACAGGGTCCCGCCTTCCAAAGGGCAGCAGAAGCTTAGATTTATTTCATTTCATTTCATTTCATTTCATTTTTTTATTTACCTACCAAATTTAGAAACAGCCCGTCTTGCTCTCCCTGTGTATGTGGACAAAAAATGCCTTGGTTTGATTTGATTTACGCGGAGGCCCATCTCACCGAGGTGACACTGAGTGACACAGAGCTAAAAGAACCAATATAACAATTTATTAATAGGATTTATATTTATTAATAGGATTTATATGCCGCCCAATCCCGAAGGACAATAAAAATAAAGATATGAATATGACAGAAAGCGAGCGGAAAGGCCACAGCTGGCGAGTGGATCATTGCAGTTGTTGAACGAGTCACACGGTTGTTAAGCGAATCCAGATTCCCCCCCCCCTTGAGTTTGTTTGTCAGAAGGAGGCAAAAGGGGCAGCGCGGCCGTCATAAGTACGAGTCAGTTGCCCAAGCGCCTGAATTTTGATCACGTGACCTGGAGATGCTGCAAACGGTAGAAAGGTGGGGGGAAAAACGGCCATAAGTCACTTTTTTCAGTGCCTTTGAGATTTTGAACCGTCACTGAATGAACTCTTGTAAATTGAGTTTACACCGCCATAATTCGGAGGTGTCGAATTTTTCCATTCTGTTGTCAATCCACAAAAAGAGAGAGAGAGAGAGAGAAAGTGAGAGAGAGAAAGAAAAAGAGAGAGAAAGAAAGGGAAAGAGGGCGAGAAAGAAAAAAGAGAAAGAAAAAAGAGAGAAAGAGAGTGGGGGAGAAAGAAAGAGAAAGAAAGAGGAGAAAGAGGGAGAGAAAGAGAAAGAAAGAAAGGGAGAGAAAGAAAAAGAAAGAAAGAGGGAGAAAGAGAGAGAGAAAGAGAAAGGAAAAGGGAGAGTAAGGGAGAGAAATAGAGAAAGAGACAGTGAGAGAAAGAAAGAGAGAAGGAAAAAGAGAGAAAGAGGGAGAGAAATTAAAAAAGAGAAAGAGAAAAAAAGAAAAAGGGACAGAAATAGAGAGAGAGAAAGAGAGAGGGAGAGAAAGAAAGGAGAAAGAGGGAGAGAGAGAGAGAGAAAAAGAGAAAGGGACAGAAAGAAAAAGAAAGAAAGAGGGAGAAAGAGAAAGGAAAAGGGAGAGTAAGGGAGAGAAATAGACAGAGAGAAAGAAAGAGAAGGAAAAAGAGAGAAAGAGGGAGAGAAAGAAAAAAGAGAGAAAGAGAAAAAAAAGAAAAAAGTGAAAGAATGAGAAAGAATGAGAGAAAGAGCAAGAGAGAGCAAGGAAAAAGAAAAAAACACGTTTTTCAGTGCCATTGTCACTAAATGGACCGTCGTAAGTCGAGCACTCCCTGTAGCAACGCTTCGTCTCTGTGAAGTCGAGCCCTTCCCTCCCCATTCCAGAAGCGGCAGCTGCAATCCCGTTATTTTATTTTATTTTTTTCATTTTCATTTTTTTCTGGAATGAACGGTGCCGCCGCTGACCGTCGTAACTCGGAGGACTAACCTGTACAATGGACTGTGCGCTAACCCCTTTTCCCTCCCGCCCCTCTCTCCCTTCTTCTCTCGCCCCTCCAGGAGGCCGACAGCGGGGAAGACGACTGCCGGTTCCAGCCCAGGAGGTAGGCCTTGGCGGTGGGCGAGGGCTTGGGGCTGGGTGGACGCAGGCCCACGGGAGCCACGCAGGGGCCGCTGGGCCTTCTGGGAAATGGCCCCTCCAGGGATGGGGGCCAAATCGGAATCCAGCCAGTCGCTAGACGGCCCTTTGCCCCCCCCCCCCCCCCTGGCCGCCAAAACCCCACGGCAGGCGGAAGGG